AGCTCACCTACGAGGCTTTTTCTGTAGACATTTGCATCTTCTTTCTAAAGTGGAAACAATAGGACCATCTCCCTGACTCAAATGAGACAAAAGAGGAGGGAGTGCACGTCACCCCTAGGTTCTCTAAGAGAGAGGCTCACCCAGCAGACCTGCTGGCCCAGGAGGCCTGGACCCGCAGCACAGCCCCACACACAGGAGACTCCAGACTTGACTATAAATCCTGCCCGGTGAATGGCCTGGGCTGAGTCTTGCTGATTGCAGAGCTCCCCCAGATGGACTGGTTTCAAAACATATTCAGGTCAGAGACTAGCCCTCATCAAATGCTTCTGTCTCTTCTCCCAACTAGACTCCTAGGGGTAGGGGTCGTGTCTTGTTCCCTGTAGTGGCTTTGGGATCAAGCAGAGCTGCCACTGCTATCCTTCTGAGTGGCATTCACTGATCTGGGCATTGTGGCTCCATGTAGGCACGCAGGCTTCGACTCCATCTTGATTTATCAATTCACTCACTCCAGTCATCCATCTGCGTCCTTTCGTGATTTGGTTGGTGCATCCTGGCCATCTGCTCTGTGCTGAGCGTTGAGGACGTAGAAACAGACAAGTCGTGATGATCGTCAAGGAGCACCGTCAGCAGAGGAGGCAGGATGCACACTAACCCTTCGGTGCAGGGACGGTGACTCCAGAGCACGGCGCTCAGTGGGGAGCAGCCCAGAGCAGGGCCCAGGGTGAAGGTGCAGCCCAGGCCCAATGGGATGCAGGGGCGGGGATGGCTGCCAGAGGAAAGTAGCATTTGACTGGAGTCCTGAAGGATGTCCAGAGCAGGAAGGCCAAGCCTGAGGGGCAACACAGAGGTAAGAATGCCAGGTATTGAGCGAGCGACTCCACGGGAGCAGAATCATGGGCTGGCGGGGGCAGGCAGGGCCGTGGCTGTTGAGTTAGAGCCACAGATGCCACCAAGGAGTTTGGACCCGCTGGTGTGGATGGTGGAGGGGACTAAAGATTCCTGGTTGCACAGAAGGAGGACTCAATCTGATGGTGCTACGGGCAATGTCCAGGAACAGGAGGGGCCAGCTGGGGGAGGGGATCAGGAGACCACTGCACATGCCCAGGTTTGGGAAGATGAAGCTCTGCACAGGCAGGGACACTAGGCTGCAAAAGGAAATGGTGCTCTGGTTGCCCGTGGGCGTCCAGGGGCACAGCGAGGATTCCTTCCCCTTTTCAGCTACAGATTCAGGCTGGTCACCTTGACCCTGAACTGTACTTATGGAAATGATCAAAATCGCCATCCTTGACTTTGAGGGATAAGTAGCTTTGGAAACGCACAGGCTTGGGCTCTGGGTCCACTTTCCTGTGTGACTGATTCAGTGAGGTTCTCATCGCTGGACGCAGTGGAGCCAGGACGAGGGCCAGACATTTGAGAAATGCTTGAGGGTGTCCTAACTGGGTGACACTGAACTTGACGAATTTCTTGTTTCTCCAAAGTGGAAAAGCCTACAGTTCTAACCTCCAGATGGTCAAAGAAAGACCTGTCCTGGGTGGGCTCATGCCCTAAAGACTAACTCCAGCCCCAGGGCGGTGGAGCCTGACGCAGGCTGCACAGGAGAGGCTGTGGAGGGAACCAGGCCACTGGGGACTCACCTACGGAGGAACTTTCTCTGCAGAAGGATGATATTGAGTCACCCCAGAGGGAGTCGGTCCCCTCCACACCACTTTTGAGACTTTTGAGGCATTCTTGCCTCCGTCAGCATCCCCCATGAACCAACCATCCTTTGCTAAAGTGAGAGGGGAAGTCCCAGTGGGACCAGGAACCTGGGGTCTCACCAGCTCTGACGGGGGCAGGGTAGTTCTCTTGATACCTTGGGAGATGCCTCTTTATGTAGGAAAGGGGTCGGGGTCATCTGAGAAGAAGCCTCCTGGGCACCAGTATCTTTCCTCTGTCCCCGCTGGGGGCCAGGTTGGCTCGATGAGGGTCCCTGTTTTCTGGCTGTCTCACATGGGGTGGAGCAGAGATGTCCTGATTTGCTCAGGAAATTTTCAAACCTGTGCTGCTGGCTCTTTAGTCCACACCTGGTGGGTGGAGGCAAATTGCACTATCGCCCAGTTTCTGGGAGCACCGAGGGCAGCTCAGCATATGTCCCCAGCTCAGCTGACTGACAGGCCAGGGCCCTCATGATAGAGCAGATGGGGTGGGGTCTTGGCCCTGACCCCGCTCTCTGGCCCACCTGCCTTCTTCCCTTCATCCCTTTCCCAGGGCCATGCACCCTCCAAACTGGTGTGTTTACCCTCCCTTCTCCCCCGCACTCTCCAGCCTCTGACTGTGGCTCCCAGGCCTTTCAACTCCCCTGTTACCAACCTAAGGACGCCCAGTCCAATACTCTAATCACTCGGAGGAAATCTCCTTTCCCCCAGTGTGCCCAGAGCTTCACCTTCTGTCTTCTCTTCCATGGTTCCCCGCTCTTGCCCCTATTCACACCCTCAGTGCTTGTCCCTCCTTTGTCCTGTTGGAACACTGCCTCTTCCACGGGGTCTTTCCCGGTCCTCAGTTGAACTGAAACTTCCTCTGGGCTCTTGCAACATGCTACCTCTGTAACAAAGCGCAGAGATCTCTCAGCTCTATTATAGTGACCCAGATAAATGTTCCCCCGCCCCTTGGCATCCTGCACAGCATCTGCCCCAACTTCAGCTCCGGCAGGGTCCTGGTGTGTGACAGGTGCTCCAGAGGGACTATGGGTCTCTTGTCATGATGTCTAAAATCGCCACCGCATGGGCAGGACCAGATCCCCCAGAGACTGGAACATTCTATTAAGGACATAAGTGACTTGTGGACATATGACTGTGGTCAGCTTCCTCCAAAGGCACAGTGGGTTTATCACGAACAGGATGCATGCATGATTTATGTACAGGCACGGATTTTAAAACTCCTTTAAAAATAGCATCAAAATATGCATCCTTTCAATTTAGGAAGAATTCATTTTTCCTCTCACGTTATGAAAGATCCATTTAAAGACATTCCACACTCCAGGGAAATAAGCAGAGCATAAAGGTCTCTGCCAACACCTTGCTCAGGTACTGGCTCTGCATAATCCTCAACCCACGCGCTCTGCCTTGGTCTCTAGCGACAGAAACAAATGGCCTAATGAAAATGGAAACAGTCTGTCAATTGTCTGCACATTGGGAATTTGCCTAAGTAGTTAAAAATATAATTGGCTAAAGTTTTACACATCTAACAAAATGTTTTCTGTCTCGCAAGGGCGACATTGAACACAAATTGAACGTTTGAGGACAACAGTGCCCAAAGTTGGTATTTCCCCCAGCAAGAAAAATGGAGAATGATTTAGAATCAGAAAGGAAGAGGAGGAGGAAGAGGAGCTTGTGCCAACATTGGGCAAAGAATTGAATAAAATAAGCCAGGCACAGTGGCCCACACCTGTAATCCCAGGGTTACTGGGGAGGCTGAGGCAGGAGGATCGTAAGTTCAAAGCTAGCCTCAGCAAAAACAGGATGCTAAGAACTCAGTGAGACACTGTCTCTAAATAAAACACAAAATGGGGCTGGGGATGTGGCTCAGTGGATGAGTGTCCCTGAGTTCAATCCCCAGTACCAAAAAAAAAAAAAAAAGAATTGAACAAAACAATTCAATTGTCCACAGAAAAACATGGAATATTAGGGATGTTTCAAATAGCTTCCAACTGGTGCCCTCGGCAGGCTGAGCATTCACCAGGGGCCTGTGTTCCGCCATAGGCAGCTGTTTCTGACAAGTGATTCTGCCACGGACCTCCTCGAGTGGAACCTTCCTCTCTGGGCGAATGTGGGGCTTGGGGAAGGTCTCTGGGGAATGCAGAGTGCAAGGTCTTTGAGGTGGCTCTGTATGGCAGTCCAAAGCAAGAGAAGCGAGTCACGCAGAGGCTTCCTTCCGTGGGGGTTTCTTCGGAGGTCACACTGCAGAGCACACGGCAGACTCAAGCCATGGAATTGGTGATGCTGGGAAGACCCCCACTGCTCAGAGCTCACGGAAAGTCAACACTTTCTCTAAGGAACAGGAAACAGAGACTGCTCATCCGCTTTCGTGAGGGAGCCTAGCCCCGAGGATCAGTGCAGACTTGCGAATAGCTCAGATGATGCGAGAGCTCGCGGCTTCTAGCTGGGGGACAGGACAAAGGGCATGAGTGCAGCTCTGCATTTTGTGAGTGTAGATCCCTGGCTGCAGCCCCCACGTGGGGTGGCACACGGTGCTCCTGTCCCACGCGCTGAGGACACAGGGCCAGGCCAGGCAGATATTATCCACGTGTGGTGGTGGCTACTCCAGTGTGCTCAGGGCCACAGGCCAAAATTAGGGTACATTCCTCTGTTTATCCAGCTGTTCTTTAGTAAGCACTTTAATATGCTGAACACACTGTTGGCCCAGGGGATGCGACGGTGAGCAGGACAGATGCTGATCTACCTACCACCTGGAGTGTGCAGGCTGACAGGGTTTGGAAGATGAAGCTCTGCTTTTTTCAGGAAAGGCCTGATTTAAGTCATTCTTATTGTAATGTGAAGTGTATTTGAATATTAAGCTAGAAGCCAATTCCTCGGTTTTGCAGGTAACTTTCAAACAACTGCAGAAACAAAATAAATTTACAAATGAAATATAAATAAAACTTTAAAACCAATAACATTTGATTGATTGCATTAATTCAATGTGACAGATGATTCCGTTTTGCTGAAGCTAAGTGTCCAATTTGGAATTTAAAAGTAGAAAGGTATTGCCTCACGTTTAGTTCTATGTTTAATTTAAAATTTCGTCTTTAATAAAATGCATTCACCCACTGAAGGGAGAAAATACTTGCAAATTAAAATATGATAAGAGATTCTTGTCCAGATACATAAAGAACTTTTACAACACAATAATAAAAAAACCAAATAGTCCAATTTTTAAAATGAGTAAAGAGTTTGAGTAGATACTTCTCCAGAGAAGATACACAAAAGGCCAGTGAACACACAAAAAGATGCTCAAGGTTGCTGGTCATCCAACAATGTAAATCAAAGCCACAGTGCATGCCACCTCCCGCCCTCTGGGGTGACTACATCAACCTAAAAAAGAGGAGAGAGAGATTCTCCAAATATAATGGATTCCTTTGGGAATGAACATTGCAAGGCGGATACACATGGGCACATCCAAAGAGAAGAAGGGAGAACACAGTTTTTGAAAGTAAAATGAAAAGTGTTACATTGCTTTACAACTACAGGGATCAGGGGGAAAGATGGGACCGTCCAAGGCTGGACAGGCAGTGGCTGGGCAGATGTGCTCTCAGAAGCATGGTTTTGCACTTGTGGAGTGCAAGGCTGTGGTGGACTTTGGGCAGTCACCTGTAGCATTTCCTCTCACGGCATAAGTACAGGACAGCCCGTCCTTCAGACCCTCATGTTTACTTATTTATTTATTTACTTGTGACTCCCTTTTGGTTCTGACAACTGTCACATTTCTAATAATGAAATCAGATAATACCAAGAGTTGGCAAAATTGTGGAGAAAATTGGAATCTTATGTGCTGCTGGTGAGAATGTCAAATGGTGCACCCAATTTGGAAAACAGCTTGGCGGTTCCTAAAATGGTAAGCACAGCTTCCATCTGTAACTCGGTGGGCCCAGCAATTCTGCTCCTAGATAGAGATTTGAGGGAATGGAAAGCACACGTACAGCCCAGTAGCATTTTTCATAATAGCCCAAGTGGAAATGTCCATCAACTGACAGATGGATGCATAAAACATGGTCTAACCATATAATGATTTGGACATCAAAAGAAAGCAGTGTCCAGATACTTGCTACAACATAGGTGAATCGTCATTACATTAAGTGAAAGAAGTTAGATCCCAAAGACCCCATATTGTCTGATTCCATTTGCATGAAATGTCCAGAACAGACAAAGTCATGGAAACAGCTGAAGAGTGACAGCCTAGGCCGAGGGGCCCTCTGACTGTGCCACTCCCTGCTTCAACCTGCTCAGGTCCCATGTCTTCGGCAATGAGTTTGTGCCTCTCAGCCATACCTGAGGCCTGCCTGGGCCCTCTGGGGTGCTTCCCCCACTCCTCACCCTCCTCGAAGTCATCATGCCACACTCTGCAATTTCCCCAGCCTCCGCCTGCACATCGGAGATCCTGGACTCCTTTCCTAGGCCTCCACTCACCTGGCCAACTGTCTCTCAGTTCAGGTCCCTACTGACCCATCACTCCACCCGCAAACCTTCCAGGCTGCACCACCCTGGGCTGTGACTTTTTTGCTGACCTGCCCACCTCACACCAGGCTCTGAGCCCCCGAGGGTGAGGCTGCGTCACCATGCCCACTGTTACGTCCTCCAGCGTGGCATCCACATCATGACCATGGGCACGCACCCCAGAGCCACTCTCTGCTCCACCCTCTGAGGCTGGGGACATGGCAGACCCTTGAGAGCACTGACCCTCAGAGGCAAGGCCACCTCCAGTGTCCCAGGACCATCAGGGATGAACAGAACCGGGCCACTGGGGTTGATTTTATTTCTATTGCTGCTGTAGCCACAAGAATAGAGTTTCCCTTTAGAGGAGGGAAGAGAGAAGGGAAAGAGGATGAAGGAGGGACCCAGGCACCCAGAAGGGTCACAGCTGGACTGTCTCCAGACATGGCCCCTCAGTGGTTGTCATTATCACAACCTTTTTGTGAACAGCTTTGGTTTGAAGGCCAGATCGTTCCCAGTGGTTGGGGTCATGCTGATGCCACCACCCACCAAAGCAGGAAGGGAGCAGCACCAGGAGGCCAGGGGACATGTGGTCACCCAAGGAGCATCCCCCTATGGCCACCACACTGCTCACCTGCCTGCTGCCGGCGAGGGCAGGTTCTGCAAGCATCAGCCTCGGCAGACCCACCTGAGGGTCTGCTGCTCAGGTGCATGACACCAGGGCATCCTCCGCACACGTGTTCGTGGGTTATTTCTGGGTAATGAATTCCTGCCTTGTGGTTATTTTTATCTCCATTGTACAAGAGAACAATGGAATTTAGAAAGATGGGCAACACACCCACGGGCTTGGGGCCCCAACCCTGTGCTCTGCCTCCAGGACTCAGGCCCTGAACACAGGCGCTGCTGCTGGGTCTTCAGGGCACAAGAGGCACAGGCAGAGCCACACTCCAAACCTAAAGACCTCTTTTCTCTCTTCCCATGGGTTCTTTCTCTCCCTTTCTGCTGTGCTCTAGGCTGAGCTTCTCCTTTGGAACGAACTGTGAGCTCCTAAGAACACACAGTCACCTGGAAGAGACCCCATGGCCATGTGGAAGGGTCCACTGGAGAAAGGTGATTTAATGCTGGGGACTGGCACATTCTTTATTTTGAGACAAGTGGCTGAGGCGGAGTGATCCCTAAAAGAGAGAGACGTGTGAAATGCACGCTTCAGGTTCTCCTTGGAGAAATCCTTCCTGCCACAGACTGGCATCCCTCTCGGGCCCACGTCCAGCCCCTGCCTGGTGCCTTACCAGGGGCTGCAGGGAGTCTCAGGGCAGCAGATGCCTTGTCTGTCCTTCATGAAGGGTTCAAATGTCAGTGTCATGCAAAGATCCTTCCAAGCTCTGCTGGCTGGAGGGCAGCATCCAACCATATGGAAAGAAGCCAGATTGAGAGACAGGCTGGCACAGCTCACAGGAAGAGGGCCCCAGCCCTGAAAGTGAGGGACAAAACCAGAGGAGAGGTCACTCATGCATGCAGGTTACGGAAATTTTTTTTTTTTTTGGACATGGAAGATCTAGGTTGAGGGGCACAAGTTAATAACATCACAAGGGAACAGCAGGACAAGGGTGACAAGTTAGATTTATCCACAGAAGGCCTGGCCTGGTATCTTCAAGAAATCTATGACACTTAACTGGGACTTTACTGAGCTTGGAGGGTCGTAGGAAGACGGGTGTGTGGTCTGAGTGGTCTTGCATCCTCAGACAAACCCGCTCTTGAGGACAGTGTTGGGCTACTCTCAGAGAAATTCGAGAGTGCTCTGGTATGAGATGGCTTAAAAATATTCCACCCTGACAGGCAAGTGGAGATTGTTTACTGAAAAAAAAAAAATCAGATTATAAAACGTTATATGCAGAATGATCTCATTTGGTTGAAGTTAAAAAGGAGTGAGATGTACTAAGGTGTTAAAAGTGGAAATCTCTGGGTGGAAGGAATATGATAATTTCCCTGTTTTTATTGTTGCTTGGCTGTGTCTTCCATTTCCCCCGGTGCACATGAAGAACTTTAGGAACAATGAAAGACTATTTAAAACTTAAAAACCCATCCATTTGGGCAATGTCAGTGAGTAAGCATGGCAGAAAGGGTTAATAACCCAAGAAAAGTATTCCCACAGGTTACCAAGAAAGAGCCCTGCAGGGATGGAGGTGTGGGCTCAGGAGGCAATAGAAAATGCACAAACAAGGGAATGTAAATGACTGGTGTATTTGAAACCGTTCAGCCTCATTAGTAATAAAGGAAATGCAAACTAGAACAAAGAACCTCATTTCTTCCCATCAAATTAACAAGCCATAAAAGGAGAAAGAAGCCCCAGTGCTGAGGAGTGTGGTGAGGTGCAGGGGGGCACAGCCACTGTCACCTCTCAGAGAGCAATCTGGTGACACCAGGACCCTGCAGCATGTCCTCATCAACACTTCTACTTCTGGGATTCTTTCTTTAAAAAAAACCTGTACATGAAAAATGTGATGCTCATTACAACATTATTTATAATTCTGAAAAATCATAGCTGTCCCAACCATCCAGCTCGGGCAGGATGGCCTAGCAGACCACGAGATCCATCCAACGCTACTCCAGGCGGTGACTCAAGTGGCATCTGGCAGAGTTGAGATGCATGCAGAACAGTCTCATTAGCACATTAAATAAAAGAGCCATTGACATTATGATCCCAACTGAGGAAAATGAGTAGCTGAAAAAGATAACAAGGAAATCTCCAAAAGGTGAGCGCCATTGGGCTGAGGAGGTGGGACTGTGGTAGGCAAGGCCCTCCATGTTTCAATATTTGCAAATGCTAATGAATGCCCACTATGTTCATGGTGAAGAGCTTGGGTTGGGGAGAGAGTGGGAGTGTGGGAGCTGATCATGGAGTCTTTGGGGTTTGGGAAAAGTTATAAAATCTAGGAGCACAGAAAGATCAACCCAGCCAAGGGCATGAATGGCAGCCACCAATGTGCTGGTCAGTTCTCACAGATGCTTGGCAGGTTGGCAGGATCCTCATCTCCAGGAAAGGGCACATGAGCACCAAAGGGACAGGAGGCCAGGTCAAAGGCAAGACCCTGCCTGGAAGGAGGGACCTTAGCAGGTACAGGGGTGAGGGGGGTCACTCAGGGAGGCAAAGGAAATGCCTGACCGCAGACAGCCCCAAGCTAGAAGCCAAGCCGCCCAGGCCACAGGATGGCAAGGGGACTCTGCTACCTCTCAGCAAGATGCCTGGGCTTCTGAGCAGTGGCCAGGCTGTGCCCTTCTGCTCTGCTCTGGCCCCAGATACTGCTCCTGCCTCTCCACCTGTACCCTCTTTCTGGTTGCGTGACTTTGGGAAAAGTTCACCTGTCGGTGCTGTTCACTCTTGTGTAAGGTGGTGTCCTAGGATTGCTGTAACTGATGACCAGGAATGGTGTGTGTGTGGGGGGTCAAAACATCAGAAATGTATTCTCTACAGTCCTGGAGGCTAGGGATTCAAATTCAAAGTGTTGGCAGGGCCAGCTTCCCATGAAGATTTTAGGGGAGAATCATTTCCTGCTTCTTTCTGATTTCTGGGGGCTACTGGCAATCCCTGGAGCTCTTTGGCCTGTGGCCGCATCATCCCAATCTGGGTCCCAAAGTCCCTCTCCTTGTGAGGACTCCAGGCCCTGGATGAGGGGCATGTTCCAGTGCAGTATGACCTCATCTTAACTCAGTACATCTTCAAAGACCCTCTTTAGAAATGAAGTCACATTTTGAGGTTTCAGGTAGACATGGCTTTTGGGGGGACACTCTTCAAGCAAGAGCAGGTGGGCCTAGCAATCTCGCCTATCTCAGGTGATGGCTTGAGCTTAAATGATTTGCTGTATGAGGCTTGCTTAGAAGAGTCCTCGACATTAGAAAGCTCCATCCTGGTGCTGCAGGTTTCTCTCTAGCTGCAACCTCCAGCTGCCCCTAGGACCTGCGCATTCCTTAGCAGATCTTCACAGATGCAAACCCAAGGTCCAGTCGCAGACATTCCCCAGGCTTTACTGTCCGTGAGTCTCCTCCCTGGGCTGCCGTGCCTTTTTTGGACGGGATCTTCATGCTTTGTGATTGCTTAAGCCTCCGGTCTAGAGGCAAGTGGAAGGTTGAGAGGCACAGTGTGAACCCCAGGGTTCATAGTGGCCACCCGAGAGCCTCTTTCTCCTCAGGCCACCCTCCCGACAGAGGAGGAGTGACCCAGCATCTCAGGCCACCCTCCTGGCTTCTTAAAATGCTGTCCTTTCATGTCCTTAAAATGCTGGCACTCACCCTGCCAGCAGGGATGCTTCCAGTCCTCAGGGAGCTCAACTGCCCTTGCCCTCCACGGTAAGGCCATAGTTACAGCTCCCCAGAAAGGTGGACTTGGCTCTGCCTTTAGGTTCTACAGAGAATCTGATCTTTAAAATGACCTTTGGCCTAACTGCTTCTCACTCAATTAGAGTCAACTATGCGTTACATCCTGGATTTGAGTGGCTCACACTAGTGGCACCTCATCTTTCTTCTCTGACAGCCATTCTGAGAAAAAGTCGCGGCGCTGGAGGCATGAGCACCAGACCAGGTGGCCAGTGGGAGCCCCTCCCGGGATTTGTTAAGGTCCCCCCAATGAAAGAGGCTAGCTCCATTTGGAGGTAAATTGCTGGGTGCACAAGTCCCTGGCTACCATGTGGTCCACCGGACAGTTTGAACGAGTAGGGAGAAGAACCCTGAGGAGGAAGGAGAAGCAGGGTGCATGGGGGGAGAAGAGCGCAGGGATCGCGCGGCTGCAGTGCTGCCTCCAGACACCTGAGGAGCGGGGGCTGCACCCCAAGGCTGTGTGGATACCCGTCCTCCCACCTGCACCCACAGCCTCCTTTGGCCAGCTGGTTATACGGGGTTTCTGTCTGCTCTGCACACAAAGCCCTTACTAAGGTAACTGTGTGCCAGGGCAGCCCCTGGGGAGAGCGCCTGTCCTCTTGTGATGGATTTTTTTTTTTTTTGAAGAAAGAGAAAATTGAATAAATAAATTCAGTAACCAGAGTCATAAAAAAGAGACCAGGGCTGGTGAGGTCTGATGCTTCTGTTGAATTTCAGGGTGCACACCTGTTCCCAAGGCAAAGGAAACAAACCTGCAGTGTGATAAGCACAGGCCAGCGTCCCGGCTGCCCCCGCAGAATGTTCAGAAGGAGCAGGTGCTAAGGCTCCAGGGTTTACCTCCAGAGGTTGGTGGGGACAAGTGTTCTCTCTGTCAGCTCTCCGTTGACTCTCCCCATGTCTCACCACACTTCGCAGGGACAAAGACTGGGAGGGGAGAGATGTGGGAGTCACCTTTGGACTGGAGAGGGGCTCGTGCCTGCAGGACACTGCCACGTGACACGTTGCCCATGTGGCTGCACATTGACCTGACACATGGTCTCCATTCCCACAGGGCAGAGAGCGTCTGTTGGTGTCCTTCGCTTGCAGATAATGGTGTCCCTCACCTGTTGGGGGCTCTCAGAAGCTTTCCCTGCTGACACCAAAATCTGAAGCCGGGCTCAGGAGGACCAAGCCTGGCTCCTGCCACGGAAGCACTAGAGAGACCCTGACGCTCTCGGTGGCCCACTGTGTGTTGGCACAAAGCACTCCTCCTGTGGAGTAGTGTCCTCCTCCGCAGGACCAGCTCAGCACTCTGCTCGGACGTCCCCTGTCCCTCGGTCAGCCAGCCGGTCTTCAGCAGGTGCTCCCTGGTGAATGAAGAACGCAGGCATCCTGGGGACAGGGAGCACAAGGATGCATAGGACTGCTCAGGATCAGTGTGTCCTTAAATCTTCACCAAAGCACTGAGCGTGAGCTTCACAGGACACACACACACACACACACACTCCAGCAGGGCAGCCTCTGCCCAAGTTCTCCCCTGTTCTCTGGGGTTGACTTCCATCTCCTCCTACCCTGAGGACCCCCGCCAGCCTAGATGGGCTTCCTGTAGGCGCTCCCCTTCCCCCAGGAAAGCACCATGATTCCCTGGGGATTCTGCAGTGAACCTTACCTAGAGAATGAGTCCAGCCCAGAGGGACCAGGCACGCCAGCTCAGCTGTGACATGGTTCTCACAGCCGAATGGGGCCGTGATGGGTGGGGCCAGTCTGAGGGTCTGCAGGACCAGGCTGGAGTCTGTTGGTCCTCTGCCTGCTCTTCTGCCCCAGGGCTGTGCCCCGATGATGGGGACACCATGTCTGCACGTCATCACCAGGCAGTTGTGTAAACTTCCTTCAAGTCCACCTGAACACGACTGTCCAGAACCTGGACAGGGAGCAGAACCTTCCAGAAGTCCTTGGCAGTGAGACTGCACTCCCCGACTCTCACATTGGCCATTCCCACTGCCTTCTGGAGTGGGCAAAATGGGTGGCCCAGCCCAGAGGTGGAAAAGGACGTCAGTTTGGAACCAACAGACTCTGGTCCTACTGCCCTTCCTACCTCAGGACTCAGCTCAGTTTCCTGACTTCTCTGAATCCCTTTCTGTAAAATGGAGCCTTCAATGCACCAACTGTCAGCACTGCTGGGCGATGAGATCCCAGCTTCCCAGCCTGGCTGCTGCATTTGGCTCCAGGCTCGCTCTCCCCACTCCTGGCTCTACACCATCGCTGGGCTCCTTTCTGGCCACATCAACCCTTTGGCCAGTCCCAGCTCTGCTCTACAACCTTGTGGCCCCCGCTGTGGGAAAGACACCGTCTCTCTTTAGCTTTCACAGGCAGCAGCTTAGCCAGGAAGGGCACGTTGTGTGCTGAGCTACACAAGTGCTTCCCTTCCAGAGTTCTGGAGGCGCCAGCCTTGCTGCTGCCCTCCCCCAACCAGGCTGCCTCTCAGCCCCTGGGCAGCACCAGGAGAGATACAGGAGATGACATGCGCAAGGTACCTGAACAGCCCTCAGCTACTGAGTAAATCCAACCAGTGGTTAAAAACCTAAAGACCTTCCAACAAGGAAACCACGATGGTTTTGTCTGTGAATTCTCTCACATTTTTAAAAAACAATGCTAATTCTAGAAATTAGGAAAGAAAAAAAAACACTTCTCAACTGGTTTTCTGAGGTCAACATTACCTTGCTATTAAAACCAGGCAAAGATATTACAGGGAAAAATACAGATTAATATCCTTCATGAAGCTGGCATGATGGCATATACCTGTAATTCCAGCAGTTCAGGAGGCTGAGGCAAGAGGATTGCAAGTTCAAGACCAGCCTCAGCAACTTAGTGAGGCCCTGAGCAACTTCATGAGACCCCTTCTCAAAAAAAAATAAAAAATGCTGGGGATGTAGCTCAGCGGGAAAATGCCCCTGGGTTAAGGATTAAGTCTCTAGCAATTAAAAAAAATCCTTTATGAACATAAATGCAAAAACCCCCAATAAAACATGAGCAAACAGAATCCAACAATATATGAAGACAAAATGCTGATTTTTTTCTAAGAATGAAACACTTGTTCAATATTCAAAAATCAATGCAATTCACTATGCTAAGATTAAAGAAGAAAATCACACGATTGTCTTCATAGATGACTGCAAAAATCAACATCCATTCATGATACCAATGCTTGTAAGATAGAAATCAAAAGGAACTCGTTTGTCTAATACAGGATAGGACATTTACAAATCATCTGAAGTTGGACCTTCTGCTTAAAGGTGAAAGGCTGAACGTGTCCACCTATCACCAGGGTGAGGCCAGGAGGCCCACTGTCAGCACTCCCAGCATAGGACTAGTCCAGACCTGTGAAGTAAGACAACAAAACAAGTAAAAGGCATACGTGTCGAGGATGATGTGACTACTTACCAAGAAAATCCTGTGGGGTCTTCAGAAATGTTCCTACAAACAATGAAGTTTTGGGAAGTCCTCAGAGTCAAGGTCAATAACAAAATCATATTTATATTAATACATACATATATTTGATATGTATATGATCTATGATATGCATATATACATATATATTTACCTGTGACACTCATTTATGATAAAATCCAAGTGAATTAATGATGGAATTATGCTGTCTTAATGTGATAAAGATATCTATGGAAAACCTGCAGCTGACATTACAACTGGAGAATGGCAGAATGCCTTTCCTCTAAAAATGGGAACAAAACAAAGCTTATTCCATCTTCATCGGATATGGTACAAGTCCTGGCCAGTGTAATAGGTAAAAATAAATAAATAAGTTAATTAATTAATTCATATAAGAAAAGTAGAAGTAAAATTGCTTATATTCAAAATCCATGTAATTATATGTATTCATAACCCAAGAAATCTATCATACATCCTAAACTTACATGTGACTTTAGCAAGGTCCCAGGATAAAAACTGATACATAAAAATCAACTATAGTTCCTATATGTTATACGTGAACAGACAGTAAAATTTACAAAACAATGGTGTATTCAATAGCGTCAAAAAGCATTATATATTTAGAGATAAAAGGGATGCAAGGCTGAAAATGAGGAATATTGTTAAAAAGAATCGAACAAGACTTGAATACACGAAAAGATACACCATGCTTGTGAATTTGAAGATGGATCTTTCCAGCTTAATCTATAGATTCAATGTTGTCCAGTCAAAATTCCAATGGGATTTCTAAAAAATTAGAAATTGGCAAGCTACTTATAAAATTTATAGGAAAAATCAGAAGACTTAGAATAATTCAACAATTTTTTTAAAGACTAAAATTAAGAAATTTATGCAACCTTAGTGTGGCACTTGGAGATCTCACTAACAGGTCTCACACTGGTGTTTAAGACTTACCATAAAAGAATTGTATCAAAATATACAAAGACACAGAATGCAATGAAGAGTACAGAAATAGAATCACTCTTACATAGTCAGTGGTTTGACAAAGCCCTGAAAGCAATTTAATGTAGAAAGCAAGTCATATTTAACAAAAAATTCTTGAAAAACTATATCAAGTAAAAAAGATGTGCCTCACCCTTACCTCACACAATACATAAGAATTAATTTAAATGAATCCTTTGCTTAAATATAAAAGTCAAAGCTATAAGACTTTAAGAAAAAACAAATCTCTGCCAACTTGGGTTAAAAAAAATAATTCTTAGCAGAACTCAAAAAAGCATTAATTATAAACATATGGTAGATTGGACTTCATAAATATTAAAAAGTTCTGCTCTTCAAAAGAGACAATTAAAGGCTGGGGATGTAGCTCAGTGGTGTATGCATGTGGCCATGGGTTTGATTCCCAGCAACACACACACACACACACACACACACACACACACACACACACTTAGAAAAGAAATAGGGAAGCCACAGATTCGAGGAGTATTTGGAACACATATATCTAATAGATATCTTGTATCCAAAACACATCTTAAAACTCCTACAACTCAGTGAGAAACAGATAACCTACTTTAATGCTACTTGCATAGTAAAATTGTACAGACATTCTGGAAAACTGGCATTTTCCTATAAAGTTAAATGTCTATGTAGGTGTTTACTGAAAAGAACTAAAACATCTGTGTTTTTAAAACGAGTATAAGAGTGTCCATAGAAGCTTAATTCAGAATATTCCCAAATTAGATATAACACAGATGTCAATCAATAGGAGAATGGCTAAAAAATAAACCCCTGTGGTATATTCATACAATAGGTCTCTCCTCAACAACAGAAAGGAATGAGCTATGGAATACACAATGGCATGGATACACCTCAAATATGCTAATCGAAAGAAGCATGGAATGGGTGGTTCTATTCCAATGAAGTTTTAGAACTTGCAAGATTAATCTGTGACGATAGAAGTAGAGCAGTAGAGAGCTGGGGGCGGGATGGACATGAATTGACTGGAAAGGGACATGGGGAATATTCTGGGGAGGTAGGACACTCTGTGTCTCATTAGACGTATGGAATGCGTGGACGCTGTGCTTACCAAAACTCATCAAATGCTCTGCGTATGACTTTTACATTTCATTATGTAAATCAAGCCTTGGTAAGAAAAAATAAACTCCTAAGATAAAAGGAAAAAAATTGAATTCTGCATAGGGGAAAAATGCTTCTCTTATCAGAGCCACAGCACACAGCCGAAAGGCTCAGGTGATCTGATGGTTACTGGCGGCCTGGCAGAAGCGGGGGCGGAGAGCTTCCTGACCCAGAGCAAGAGGGTGAGCCAGGAGTGTGCAGACCCAGGTGTCTCCTCCCCATCTGGCCGGAGCAGGTCAGAATGACGTCATATGTGGGACCTCACCCTGCTGTGTGCGATCTGGCTGGGAGAGTGGCCTTCCGATGCTGGCCAGTGGTTTTTGAGCAGGTGTGGCCCGGCTGGGCTCAGAGAGGCACCACCTGAGCTCAGCACTCTGCTTCCTGCGACAATCCCCTTACATCTCTGTCATAAGCAAATCATTCGGCTTCCCTTCAAAGTGGCCCCTTGGCGTTCATGCAAAATAAAAAAAAAAAATATTTCCCCTGCTTTCTAAATCTTGCTGAGCCCGGCAAAAGCTGAGTCCTTTAGAAGAAGACTTACCTACCTCAGCTTCCCTGTGTTCCCACTGCAGTTTCTGAAGGATAATATCACCTGATACCACTAGCAAGTTGGACTTTCCCCCCTCCCTCTTGCACACACACACATCCATGCCCCTGCACTGCCCCCAGCAGACCCGCAGGCAGGCTGTCCTTGAATGCATTTATTATAATGCGTATAGGGAGCAGGTCCTAAAATGCACAGGCCGCTTAGGTGTGATGAAGGGCGAAAGCTGAGCTCAGAGATTGCTCCCACCAGTGCACAGTCAGCCAGAGAAGAGCCGATCTCCCCCACACATCTGCCCACGCAGACCTCGAAAGCTAAAGTGGTGTGTTGCTTCAGCTGCCACGGCAGCAGAAGGGACTCCGTTCCAAGCAAGTGGGGAAAGAGGGCTCTCGGATGCCTGCTCTGTCCCCTTTCCCTCTCCCTCTGTCTCTCTTGTGACATCCTCGAGCAAATTCACGAGTGAGATTGCCTCACCCACCCACCTCATGTCACAAACGGGAAACCTGCGTGTGTGGGGGGAATTGTCCAAAAGCCTGTGGTCAGTTAGGGTCAGAGATTAGACCAGACCCTGCCTCCCTGCTTGCAGTGCAGAGTTCTGTCCGCTGCAGAGGGCTGCCAACCCATGGTCTCACGCTCTTTGGAAAGTACTGGAAATGGCTTGGGCTGGGGGCTCCTCTAATAAATGGCCTGCTGAGGACATCATCCTACTGCTTCCCATTTCCTGGGGTGGAGGATTAATAGAAGGACCCTGGAATCACCAGCCAAGGAGGTCTCCCCTTCACTCGTACACTGGTAACATATTCACAAAGGTACAGACCCTGAAGATACCCCCAGGAAGCCCAATGGAGTGAGATCAAGTCAGGCTCCCCATTCCTCTGGGGCAGCCTGTCAGGGGCTCAGTGATAGGCAGGTTACAGGAGCTGCAGGTTGGACAGAGGAAGTGGAAGGCCTGCTTTGAAAGATTCCATTTTTCAAAATGATAGGGCAGTTTTGTTGAGTGGTTAAAAGCATCCACTCTGGGAACCAACAGACCCGAGTGTTGCCCCCACTGGGTATGTGACCATGAGACACGGTTCCTGAGCTTGCTAAATGGGAGGAACCAGTCTTTTAGCATCTGCTCAGTACACGGTAGCTGAGACTGGTTGCTCTGAAGACTCAGTTTCAGAACTCAGCAGACACAGCACCCCGAGGCCAGCTCTGTGCTTCTGTAGCCGGTGTTCACTTCTCTGTGCTTTTGTAGCTGGTGAAGTGAGCAGGAGGCAGTGTAGGAGGAGAGGAGCTGTCCACCATCCCGGTGCTGATCTGCCAGGACCGCAGCGGGCGGGGCTTTCAACCACTCAGGCGGCCCAGACACAGGCAGTGGTTGTGGGTTAGTGGGGGAAGGGAGAGGGATAAGAACCTGGAATAAATGACTTTTCCTGAAGACTCTAGTTCTCCAGGATAAAAGAACAAGCTCTACTGCCTCACTCCTGCCCAGAGATAGGAAATCAGCGAGGCCAGACATCTTTAGAAGATCGCACAAACCAAGAGAAGCCTCTGTGGACTGGTTTCGAGTCTCTCAGTCCAACACTCAGGAAGATCAAACACACACTTCTCTGCTCCTGGAGCCAGTCTGAGTTGCAAATAAAGGAGCTGCTCTGCCACTGGCAGGTTTAATGGATTTCTGGGGCGAGGTGCAGACCTCACTGGCTGGCTGTGTGTGTGTGTGTGTGAATTCAGTGGAGAGAAAAAGCTCTGCATCTGGGCCAGGCAGACTCTAGATGGACAATTCTTTCCTTCTAATCAACAGTGGGGCAATCGTGGTGGAGGACATGAAGCCCTGGTCTGAGGAGGAGCTGCATTTCATCTCAGATCTGCCTCAGTCTATTTGAGAGCTTGGGGAAGCTGCTTTGCTGTAAACCTCCGACATGCAATCCACACTCGGGTCGTAGCCCCTATACCATGGACCACAGGAGGGGAAATGAACTTGAAGTGCTTAGCAGAAAGCCTGGCCCACAGTGAGCTCTCAGGCAGATATTGAGTTCCTACAGCACTCAGCTGGCCTACAGCCAAGCATCTAGCTTGGGAAGAGAGGGAGAAGAGGAAGAGTGGGAGTGCTTGTTAATTGGCATCATTAGGAAAGACGGGGGATCAAATCTGGCATCAGAACAGAGTTGGGGTCATCTCACTTCCCCGCTCAGTTCCAGGACCCCAGCATGCTGCCTGACCTCTTTGAACCTCTGTTTCCTCATCTGTATGATGGGGTCATTGCAGCATTGCTTGCTCAGGGCTGCAGGGAAGATTAAATGAGATGAGGCAGGGAGCACCGCAGCAGAGCAAGCCTTGGGTGAATGTGGCCACATGGGCTGTGTCCATCAGAGGGGAGCCTCGGCTTCTCCCTGGAGTTTCCAGCTGAGACTGTCAGGCAGCTGGCTCCTTCTTCCCTATGGCTGGGCCTGACACCTTCCAGGGCTGGCCTGTGGGCCAGAGACAGCCACAGAGACTCAGAAGTGACAAAGACCCGTCCCTCAAACCAGTTCTTAGGAGAGTAGACAAGTGAGCCAGAGGCCCAATGGCTGTTGGAAGAACTGTTCTGTTGATTCTGCTTTCCCAGCGTGAGGGCTGGGCTGGGGGTGTGCCTAAAGGGCAGGAGGGCCAATCTGATCTGATAGTGACAGCAGAGAGCACTGGACAGTGAGAGGGCCCTGGTCAGCATTCCATGCCCTGGTCTGCCACTCACCAACCACCTGTCATTATTCAAAGAATGGAAGGACATCTCCTTTAGGGTGTTGGCGTCCTTATCTGTGCAACAAGAACACTTGTGGTTCACTCTTGGAAATCCCAGAATTCTACAGGGATCACAAGAAGTAGCAGTTGCGTTAATGCTTTGAAAATGGAAGCCAGCTGATGGCTCAGGTGGAGAGGCTGGCAGGGTTGTGCCCTCAGTGTGACTGAAGGCTCCAGGCCATGGAAGCCAGGAAGCTATCCTCTCAATGGGCCTGAACTTCTGTGCTTAAGCCCGGCCCAGGCTCCTTCCTGGAGGCTCACCTTCTGCTCAAGAGCTACAACTCCACGAAGCTGCCAGACCTCAGCTCTTAAGCATCTGCTTGGGCACCTCCTTCCCCATGGAACATCAGTTATTGCCCCTCCCCCTCAACTTGCACACATCTAGAACTCTCTGCTTTGCCAAAGGAATGTGCTTTTGGTATTCACGTTGCCTCCACAGGACCTCTCTTGGGAGCCCTGGTACCACTCTGGTTCCCATTCAGTTTATATCAGTATTTCCTCTTTCTGAAGATAACTGTGGAAAGGAACAGTGTAGTCATCAGCCCATGTTGAGAGTAGTAAGTGTGTGTGCGTGTGTCCTAAAGATACTGGTAGAGTAGAAAGAATGTGGGTTTTTATGTGCAATGGTGGACCTGGATTCGAACCCTGACTGTGCCATCACAGTCCATTGATGCCAACCTAGAACAAACTACTGGGCTCTCTGGGTCTGGACTCCTTCACTGGTCGAGATGGAATCATGATACAGATGCTGTAAGCATGGGCAATGGCGTGTGCATCCGGCCTCCTCTATGGAGCCCTGCTGATTAAGCCCTCCCTCGGGGCCCAGTTTGGGTATCTAATGAGTCATGTTAATGCTGTCATCAACATTCCATCACTGCCGACTCCTCTCTGGCTTGAAGTCGCCTGCTGTGCAGCTCTGCCACGGAGCAGTTTCCTGGCAGGCACCCCCCAGGCCTTGTTGCCCCTTGTCCCGCAGGCTGCATTCTTGATTCATCCTGGAAGGTTAGTGCGGACCTGTGTCCAGGCCAGGCCAGGGCCTGCATCTCCCTTCCTCAGTGACCGTGAACCCCTTGCTGGTGTCTAGGACCATGTTAGAACCTATGCTTAGCAAGGCCCAACCTGGCTGAGGCCAAGGTGGCTGGGGACATGGTCACTATGGAGAACAGTCCTCCCATAGCCCCACCGCAGGTAGGAAATTTGTTTAAAACCCAAAGAAATTGAGCTTGTTTTCTTTAGGAAACTGAGATAAAATATTCTGAGTGTCTGACATTTTAACCTTTTGATGTTGCCTTTATGCAGTCAGGAAGCAAATAATCTTCAAAATGATTGTGTGTGTGTGTGTGTGTGTGTG